AGAAGGGGAGAGAAAAAGGAGAGAGAGAGAGAGAGAGAGAGAGAGAGAGAGAGAGCATTAGCCATTGCTCATTCTTTTAACTTACCTTGTAAATTTGGGAGTTGCCTCTTTAAAGCAGGGGGAGTATGAAAATTCCCCACTCAGGATTGTCACAGCCCACTATCCATAAGGTAGTTATGATGTTTGTAGCATTCCCAAAGAAGACATTATATGGCACAGCCTCAGGCCCAAAGAGACCTCATTTGTCCAGTCAGGGGTAATAGGGCTCTGGAGTTTGCATTTTTTTTAAAAAAAAATCCATTTTTCTTTTCTTTCTAGCCCCCTATGTCATAGAAATCCACCAGGTGTCCTGGGCACTGAAGAGGCAGCATGGATGAGTCACGTGGCTTTCACCAGGATTTTATTCTGTGGTATGAACCAAGCCCTGACAGCCACCTTTGAGTCCTTCACCAATGCTCCTGGGCCACAGTGGTCTTCGTTCCAGTGAGGAGTGATGACTACAGTTGATGCCACAGACAAAATCCTTCGGTTGAAATTCCAAACACAGAGAAGATTAAGGGGACTTCAAAAACCCAGTATCTGACAGGAAAATACAGCATCGAAACTTGGAGGCAGAGTTTTATTTATATAAGTACATGTATTTTACACACCAGCGATGGACAGAGTACTTCTGAGAAATTACTGGCTCCAGGTTTAAATGCGACGATCAAGGTCATTCATGTAAGCCCCACGGTTTCAGCAATCTCATACACCAAGCAACGCTGCGGATATTTGTTTTTTTCTTTTAATTTCAGAGGGCGAAGACGAAGTAAAAAAAGTGCAGTTCTTCAATTAAAGTGCATGGATGAGGTAAACTAATTTCAAGAGTTTTGAGTCTATTCAGTACTGGCTCAGACAGGAACCATCCTGCCATGGATCTGCTGCATTTGGGTTCTCATTGCCTGGACACTGCTTAAAATCTTATTCTGGTGTGTGATTGCGGTGATGCCAATTCTCGCCAGGTCACTGCAGGTGGGACAAAGAGAGAGGGAAAGAAGTCATGGGGGTTGTGCAGAGAACCTCCTTCTCAAGGCTTCATGCAGACACATTTGAATCAGCCACAATTAATACAGAACAAGAAAGGTGTACACATGTTCCATTAAGCAATCCAATACAACAATGCAGGTGCTAGAGAGGTCGTGTAAAATTATATTCTATCAAAATGAGAGACATTCTGGCTTTCTTTTTTTGTTTTTAATGAGTAGGGAATGATTATGAAACTCAAAGGGAAACAGGAAAATACTATGAAATCTAGATTTACCCTTTGGTGTTACATCGCTGAGTACTTACTCCTGGTTCATGTGAACCACAGCTTCTAGCGTGGTATACCCGGCAGCTGTGAAGTTATCCTTATACCGGTCCATTTTGATGGCCTGCAGCCAGTCGCCCACTGATACTACAGCCGAAAACTCAGGGGAGCTGGGATCCAGCAAGGCTGTGTTTGGTCTGCAAGTGGAATGAGAATATGTAAACAGAAATAAATCAGATTGTATACGACAGACCAGGGAAACAAAGGGCCAAACAAAGAGGTGTAAGTGGAGTGACTGTCATTTGAAATTGCCATGTACTTTTTTTTTTTTTTTTAACGACATTCATTTTAGGTAGTCTGCTCTGGATGTTGAGTCTCATGGCAGGGCTCTGACCATCCTAGCTTAGTAGAGGTTGGGGGAGCCCTTGTGATTTGTGGCTCAAACCTACTCCATCGGGACCAAATACTACGGAACCCTCAGTGAAGCAGTGAAGCGCAAGGGAGGAAAATTGGGGGCTTGCAAGCTGCCAGGCTTGATGGAAGCAGAGACAGCAGTGAAGAGTTCAAAATCCTGCATGTTCTCAGAGAGCTCTGTAGACACACTCAGTGCATTCCTACCAACCCAGAGAGCGTGAGTTAATCTGCTCTTTAATCAACCCAGGCCTGGACCGCTCGTGTGCCAAGACCAGCAGAATCAATGGCACTTTGATTGCTCTTTGGATTGGTGTATGTGCTCCTTGGATTCCTCTCTCAGTAGGCATTCCAATAAATTCAAAACTCTTGTTAACTTAGTTATTAATTGATTCACCATCAGCCCAGGGGTTTACTATCAGATCAGTAGTCAAGGCTGACCGGTCTCAGGCATGCTGCCTTTCCTCATGAGGGAGATCCACAAGGAATAACCCATCCATGAAAGTTTTTAGGAGACCTAGTCATCTTCAGAATACTTAATGACCAAAGGCTAGACCTTCAGAGAGGCACCTCATAACCTGTACTGGAACTTCCTACATAGAAACACAGTCTTCTTAAACTTCTCTTCCCTCAAAACCATAGAAAGTCTGTGTCTGAGTTTAACATTTTAACCTGAAACTGTGATTGTGCACAAAATTTCTTATAAAAAAACAGAAGTTATTATGATGCCCAGGTTTTTTTTATACAGAATTAATCCAATGTTTAAAATTATTTTAATTTGCACTATTTCCCCTTTGCATAAACATTTTAACATTAACTCCTTTTACACCAACCAATAAATTTTGTGTTCAAATAACTCGCCTTCCTGACTTCCTCGCCTTTCAGTTGTCTAATATTCCTGAGTAAATTCAGCATCTGTTTACAACAACAACAACAAAAAGATCAAATTCTCCTAATTTTGAGTCACTAACATTACCATGAAGAATTTTATGTTCGTCATTAAGTGGTGGATGTAGAGCCATGGCATTGTTATCAAACAAAGTCTAACCATTTGTATTTATGAGTAATAAGAGGCTAAGCTCTCGACAGGGCTCTAAGTGTACGACAAGATCAGAATAACCTCAGGGTGAAAATAACTTCCCTTGGTGTCAAGTGGTTCCAGAGGTCATTGCCAAACTTGTTCTCAAGTCTTCATTCTCTTTGTAGAACACTACATTTGCCTAATTTTGTGCTAAGTTATGTCCCATATTCTATTGTATCCTATTATCAGTAATAGTGACAAAGATTTTTGAAATGCTATTATTATCAAGAAAAAGTTCAGAACTGAGAAAAGTATATGCCGTAACCCAATCTGCTCTAGGCTTTGATGCAAAGCTGACATTTTGTGGTATTAGTGGCTAAAGAGCTTTGAGTATCAATCTAAATGCTACGAGAAGTACCAAATACCAAAGAATTGGCCTTAAACAACTATCTCTCCCCTCCAAACAATACAGGTGAATGAAGGCGAACAAAGTAGAGGAGATTCTCCCAGGGGACTGAAGAAACTGATTAGACCTGGAAAGGAGGTTTGGGAGCCTCTGTAACCTAAGACTAAGAGAAAAAAGAAAAATGCTCCCACATGACAGAATATGTCTTTCTTTAGTTAGCAAAGTTACATGTGGTCCCAGCTTAAGTAAGATGTGAATTTTAGTTATGGTTGGTGTTATTTCAAGAGCTTGATGATTACCCTTTTTGTCCCATGGCCAGTGGGAGAGACTTAGAAGCACAGAAACTAGGTTTCTCTGCTCTCTGCTCCAGGGTCCCTTTTTCTTGTATTGTGATAGAAATATATTCATTCCCCTGAGGGAAATAAAAGGCTGTTTTGAAGAGAACTTCAAAGATCTGCAAAAGCTGGAAGGTCTCAAGACGTGGACGGAAGGGACATTTTTTTGTTTGTTTTCTGAAACAAGGTTTCTCTGGCTATCCTGGAACTCTCTCTGTAGACCAGGCTGACCTTGAACTTATAGAAATCCACTAGGATTAAAGGCACGTGCCACTACCACGTGGCAGGATGTTCTATTTTTAACTCAGGGTCCTAGCAAAAGAGACACCTTTAAGGAGCTCAGATTTGGAGCCGCCTGCGTGCCTCACCTGATGAAGGCTTGAGTCTTTAGCTTAACAGTCTAATCCACAAGCCTGTACCCGGATCTACACCAGATGAGTTTGGTGTCTAGTAAGTGTCCCGAACTTGTATCAGTAAAGCTCTTTCTCTCAAGGAAACTTCCTGGTGAACAATGGCCTCGGGACCTTTACATTTTTCATAGAGCAGTGCTTCTTCAGGCTCAGAGTAACTGAGGAAGGAGCCGTCCAGGTTACAGAGCTTGGCAGTGGCCTGTGACTAGGCAAAGTCAGGAATTTTAGGATGCACTGCACTGACCTGCCACATAGGATGTAGTCCCTTATCCAGCACTATTAGTAAGCATGGCAAACCTGGAACTCTCTGGTCCTGTCCTCTTCAAGCTGTTGGGATTGCGGATGAGTTTGTCCAACATGTTGACAATCTGCCCGAATTTAGGTCTGTCACTTCTCTCTTTCTGCCAGCAGTCCAGCATTAACTGATGGAGGGCGATGGGGCAGTCCATTGGTGGGGGTAGCCGGTAGCCTTCCTCAATGGCTTTAATCACCTAGAGAAGACAACAGGATAATATGGTAAGCTGCCAGCAGCTTAAGTATGGGCACAGCTCCAACCTGTTCACAGAAGCCAAAGCTAGGTATTGCTGGCGAGGGGGGAGGAAAGTCAGCTGTTTAATGCAATGTGATGTCAATCTGAAACTTGAACTGGCGATGCAATGATATTCCAAAGGGGTTAGATCCCAATTAGATCCCAGCATGGTGTCAGCTCCTCCAACATCAAAGTTCTGTCTGCACTCTGCTATTAGGCATCAGCACACCTACACACTCCAGTAGAACCCACCCAGTGCCACAGACATTCTTTAGGAAGTAACTCCAAGTTGGAATTCCCTAGGCATCACTTCAGCCCTGTGTTCTGTCATTCAGGAGCTACTATGTCAGCATCAGCACCCCCTTCCAGATACCTTGCATTTTCCCTTTAAGGAGATTTATAGCCTTAGACAACAACCCAGTCTCTGTCTTGGCCACAGATTGATGCTGATTAAGTCTATTCAAAATGTTAGTAAGTCAAATCTTTAAAAAAAAAAAAATACATTTTTTTTTCTTTTTGTTTTTTTTTGAGACAGAGTTTCTCTGTGTAGTCCTGACTGTCCTGGAGCTTACCTTGTGGACCAGGCTGGCTTTGAGAACTCTGAGATCTCAAGTGCTGGGAGTAAAGGTATGTGCCACCACCACCCAGACGATGCATTCATAGGGGACTTTACACATAAAAGCAAGTTTCGACAGTAGGTGCCTATTGTCTTATTGCTCAAGGCCATCTGGAGTGGCTTGTCTACCTGCTTAATTAGATAGAGGAATCACCCAACTTCATGGTGATTTAGCCCTTCTAAGTATCACCACAGATAGCAGATCGGTTCTCTTTCTTTCATTCTTCCCCCTCCCTCCCTTGTTTTTTATGGACAGGATTTAACAGTCCGATAGCCTCCCACTCTCCATCCTCCTGCCTCAGTCACCGAACTTGGCTCAACTTCTCTGGCTCTTCCTTAAACCCTTTCTCTATTGCCATGTGAATCCCGGGTAGGTGATCTGGCAGACTCCTGCCAAATTCAAAGAAGGGAACTACTTCATACTGTTCTTACTCATGAGCCTTGTTCGTGAGCAGCCTCAGATACTGGAAGCGCTTTTATTTGTTTGACACTTTAAGCCTTTTATTTGTTGTTTTTTTTTCTTTTTCCTTTGCCCCTATCCAAATGATTGCTGCCAGAAAGACAAAGTGCCACAGCCATCTCATAAGCACATTGGATTTATCCCACAAGGGCCTATTGACTGCTGAGAAATTGGCCTGCAGCAGAAAATAGTCCATTTGAGTGGCTCTAGATTCTGGGCACAAATTTGACTGCTATCTTTTTTAACCAGAACACTGTTTCAAATCTAGCAGACATCTTTTGATGGAGGACCTCCTCTCAAGTGTTTTTCAATATCTTATTGTGTCAGAGTTATCTGCTTCTTCTAAGGTAGATGACTCTGCCTTGTGTACCTTCATTGCACTTAATTTTGACAAGCATATTAGGTCAGACTGAGCCTTTTATTCCTTTTATCTTTCCAAGTACATGGTATTGACTCTGGAGTTGATGAAAACATTCTCCATTGATGAGAATGCAAACTTCGCTGGGCTGCTGTCTGGAGATCTCAAAGTGATGAATACTCTCTCAAAGGCTCCCTGCCCTGATCTGTGGTGGTATCTTGTTTGTACTCTAGCAAATAAAACTTGCCTGACGTCCAGAGGCCAGAGCTAGCCACTAGTTAATCATAGAGGTCTGTCTGGAGGTCTGTACAGACAGACAAGAAGTGATATGGCTGAGTAAAGAAATATAAGGTAGGAGGAGACAGGAGCTCGGCCTCTTTTCAGTCTGAGAATTTCAATTTCATAGCGGTAAGAACTCTAGGGACTGGCTGCTCTGCTTCTCTGATCTTTCAGCTTTCATGCCCTAATATCTGAATCCAGGTTTTTA